ATCCACACAGTCAAATGCCTTTGCATAATCAATGAAACACAGATAGACATTCTTCTGGTATTCTCTGCTTTCAGCCAAGATCCATCTAACATCAGCAAGAAGCTGAGCTACCTTAAAAGCTAGGCGCTTACAATTACTAACCCTGCTGGCCCACCACTAGATATTCAAGTACTGACACAGAAAGCAATCAAATAGAACAAAATTCAGAAGTGCTTACCAACACCACCCCTACTTTCTAAAAAGCAATAGCAGTTTAAAACCACAAAACAACAAAAACAAAACCAAAAACAAACAAATAAAAAAACCCACCCAAAACTAAAGAAGAGTATATCTGTATTCTTAGCCCATCAAGCAGGGAGTTCTCTCTATGTAGATTTAAAAATAAGTAAATGAAGTCGTCAGTTAATTGCTACCTTTATAGTTCTTGATCCATGTTCTGAACAACATCAGTCGTGGTCAGTTATTATTACAAATTTGCCTGCTGAAATAGAATTAGATTCTACTTTATTAGATTCTCGTGCTAAATTAAAACTTTCTGTGTCACGATTCAGTCAGATTCAGAATAAGTATTCAAGAGTAGATTAGTTTAAGTATCCATAGAAATGTATACAAAATATGATAAATCACTGTAGTTAAATTATTCTTTGCTGTAGAACCCATTATTTCTGTAAAGAGGTTCAAATTCAACCCCTGTTCTCTGTTAGGTCCCTTCTAGCCAGATTGCTGGTGCAGGGAAGTGTTCTGTAGACATCTATTTAGAACGGGAATACACTTTGATAAAGAGCTTAGGAAGGTCAAGAATCAGCAGCAAACCAATTTCCTGCAATGGTAGATGGAGACTATCATTTAGCAACCATAAGATTACTTAATTTCTACTAATTTCTCAGCGTCTCCAATTATTTGCAGCAATTAAGGACTCATTTAAAACATGTTTATGTGTTTGCTATTGCATCAAGCTGGGCAGGATCTCTGGGTAATGTGACTGCTTTGTCTACTCAACAAAAGGTTGTTAGGTCTCACCTAACCTAAACAATGTCCATCATTGCCACAGAAGAAAGGTTGGACAATCTCTGTCGTCGTTACAAGTACAGTCATTGAAAACCCAGTGCAACTCAGTCTACTCCAAAGCACAAAGGCCCACACTGAATCTACATTAACTCCGTGACAGTGGGTGTAGGCATTTTAGGAGAAAGAATCCAACACAGCAAGTGCCCTGAACAACAGGCACTTCTTGTTCTCTTCTTGACTCCAATATTGGGCAACCCCAGACCCTCAAATATGAGGGCCAGAACCAACAACTACTAGAAACATATATAAATATGATAATGATTTGATCATTAGATACATATTTCTAAAATTCCCATTCAAGCAAGGTTCATGTCTAGTTATATTGTAGTGCTGCTTACGAGGGTGAGCTCTCCTAATAGTCCTAAATTAATGTTTGGAAACTTTTACCCTCTTTATTTTCCCCTTATTGTACTTCATGCCCATGTCCTCCCCAAATTTATATCCTATTATAATCTGATAGCCAAAAGAGCAAAACCACTGTGTTAGGACATCATTAGGAGAATTTCGAGAAACAAGCTGAGAATGTTGGGAGTTAGAACAAAAGTTCAACTGAGCAAATTATTCATTTTTTTTCCTGCCAACTCTGCTATCATCATCAAAATGTTCCAGGCCCCATCATAGGATTTTCAAAGACTCCCTTGCTCTAACACTCTAACCAAAACTCAATGGCAATGTTCCCAAACTTTTTGTTTCATTATCATCGTCTCTTCTTCTTCAGCCTTTCTTTCTTTTGGCAATCAATCCCCTGAGGCTCAATATCAAGAAGACAAAGATTCTCACCACTGTACCAAGTGGCAGCATCAGGATGGATGG